ATATATATATATTATATATATTTGATATATATCAAATATTATATATTATATAAAGACTAAGGTCACGTGAACATTGCAATGTGTAAATCTACTTGCTGTTTTAAATATAAAATGTGTTGACACGGTCAGAAAGACACACTTCTTACCCTCAGTGGCTGCCATCTTGGCTCCTCCTCCAGGAGCAGAGCTCCTCCTCTCTGCTGGAGACCCAGGACGTATTGCTGGACCCGCTGGAGGGAAGGGAGGCATAGGAGAACCAGGACTGAGAGGGTCAGACTGTCGGACCTGCTGCAGTAAGATGAGAGGTTTTCTAAAGAGTCTGGTGCTCAGAGACACTACCACTTTAGTCCACAGGGGGCGCCAGAAACAACACTACATGAAAGCTCTTCACAGTAACTTTAAGATGATAAAAACAACTAAACGTTGAACTTGATTCATGACTCAAACACACATGAACACAAAGTTTTAAGGAAGAGAAACGTGTCATAACACGATCAGATATACTGATCTCATTAGAACATGTTGGAGAACAAGAGGACGCAGGTTTGATTCCGGCTCAGAGAAGAAGAAAGCAGAGCGGAGCCGACGTCTCATTAGTTTCTTTAATAATTATTGTTCCAGTACAAGATGCTGCATCACGGTCGTCTTTAAAAAACAGTTGTATTAGATTTCATTAGGAATGACATAATCAATAAAGATGTGTACACAGTGAGCGATCTGGACCGGGGGGGCTCCTTTGTGCTGATGGGTTTGGTCCGTTAGGAGCGGAACGTTTGAACTGGAATGATTCTTTATTCTGCTACAGAAGAACAAACAGAGGAATGTGGAGTCAGCAGATTATCTGATCGATACTCAGGTTCACTTTAACAGCAACAGAGACCTGAAATACTAGTAAACACAAGTACTCACAAGTACTTTAATGAGTACTGAGGAACCAGAACCAGGACCCGGTTCACCTGAAGAACATAGACTACTTGAATCTGAAGATGAAAGAGTCTCAACTTAAAGACATGGATGAGATGAATGTGAGCGCTGGTGCTGTTTGTCACATCGGACGTTAAGTAAACGATGACATTTAGATTAGAAATAAAGAAAAGCAGTTTGAGTTTCTAATCAATGTATGAATGCATGTGTTTATCTTTCTTTACCGTAATAACACTACAGAGGAGCAACCATATTCAGACAGCGGCTCACGTTACCGTGGTTTTTAACGCTGGTTCCTTAAAGGAATAAAACCTTTTTGTTTTCTTGCAAATATTTTACTTTACAATCCCAATCTCAATCTTCTCAGTTTATCTCGTAATATTTCTTTAGTTCTTTTCCTCTTAAATTAATACATTTAATCTCAGAAAATCTGATGTTTTTCTCTGAATATTAGTCAAACCTGCAGCTGTTCAAATCGTTACTTATACAACGTGATTTAACGGAGACGGACCGTAAAACATACCGGTCTGAAATCACATCTGGATTTGAATCCAGATGTGAGATGAAGTATAAAAACACTTTTACTCTGAAGAGTACTCATAACGCTCTTCATGGTGTACATGTTCTCCCTCTGAAGTACTGGTCTGTAAACGGGTTCTGGTTCAGGAGCTGCTGGTCTGGTTTCAGTTACAAAAAACAAAGATCAAGTTCCTCAAACTTGAAGTATTTTTGTGCTTGTTTTATAAAAGTACTCCAGAATAAGTACTACTGGGCATTTGGGACCAAAGATTATCTACAAGCCCCTCATCTCTCTCTCTCTCTCTCTCTCTCTCTCACACTCACACACTCACACACACACACACACACACACAGCAAAAAGAGCACAAAAGGTATGAAAAGTAAGAAAAAAAGGAAACTTTTATATATAGGATTTATAAAAAAAGAGGAATAATACTTTGTTTATCCGAGAGTTTTTGTTAAAGGGGGAGGAGTTTCTTTTAGCTGCTGTCGCTGCTGGAGGAGGAGCTAGAGCTGCTGGAGGAGGAGGAGCCAGAGGGGGAGGGGGAGGAGCTACTGGAGCCGGCCGTGTCTCCCCGCTCCCGTTTGTGGATCTGCTCGTGAGCTTTTAGGTGTCCTGACTGGCTGAAAGTCTTCCCACAGTGGAGGCAGGCGTAGGGCCGCTCCCCCGTGTGGATCTGCTGGTGGGCCTTCAGGTGGCCGAGGCGGCCGAAGCTCTTGCCGCACTGCGTGCAGCCGAACGGCCGCTCGCCGGAATGGATCTTCTCGTGGGTCTTCAGCACGCCCGAGTTGCTGAAAGTCTTCCCGCACTGCGAGCAGGTAAACGGCTTCTCCCCCGTGTGGATCTGGATGTGGTTCCGGTAACCCGACTCCTTGCTGAAGCTCTTGCCGCAGTGCTGGCAGCAGAATGGCCGCTCGCCCGTGTGGCTCAGCTGGTGGGCCTTCAGCTCCTTGGATTGGCCGAAGCTCTTGCCGCAGGCGAGGCAGGCGAACGGCCGCTCGCCGGTGTGCAGCCGCTGGTGTGACCGCAGGTCGTCGGCCTTGGTGAAGCCCTTGGGGCAGTGGGCGCACACGTAGGGCTTCTGGCCCGTGTGGATCAGCTGGTGGCGCTTCAGGTTGCCCGCCTGGCCAAAGCTCTTGCCGCACTGCGAGCAGCTGTAGGGCCGCTCGCCGGTGTGGATCCTCTGGTGCGTCTTCAGGTTCCCCAGCGTGCTGAAGTTCTTGCCGCACTGCGCGCAGGAGAACGGTTTCTCCACCTGCGTGTTGCGAGGCTTCCTCGCCGTCGGGTTCTGTGTTTTGCCCGTCAGACCCGAACCCGCCTCGGCCGGCGGCGCCTCGTACGCCCCCCCGCCTGCGAACTCGGGGTCCATCTTGCCCATGCCGTCCATCAGCAGGGCCTCGGGCCGCAGCTTGTTGAGCTCTGTGCGGAGCTCGGCCATGTGGATGGACTCCAGGCCGTTGGTGGTGTTGGATTCTGGGTACTCGCACTTCAAGGAGCTCAGCTCGGTGGTGTAGTAACACTGAAGGTCCACATGGTGGTCCGACTTTATGTACTCCAGTGTGTCCGTCACCTGGAACACACAGACCAGCTTCACTCACACATATGGCAGATACGCAGATACACGTGAGACAGAGATACAGAGATATATTATACTGGATATATATATACATACACACACACTCACCGGCCACTTTATTAGGCACACCTGTTCACTTGCTTGTTAACACAAATGGCGAATCAGCCAATCACATGGCAGCATCTCAATGCCTTTAGGCCTCTAGACGTGGTGAAGACGAGCATCAGGATGAGGAAGAAAGACGATTTAAGTGACTTTGAACGTGGCATGGTTGTTGGTGCCAGACGGGCTGGTCTGAGTATTTCAAACTGCTGATCTACTGGGATTTTCACCCACAACCATCTCTAGGGATCACAGAGAACGGTCCTAAAGAGAAGATGTCCAGTGAGCGGCAGGTGTGTGGACCAAGATGCCTCGTTGGTGTCAGAGGTCAGAGGAGAATGGGCAGAGTGGATGGAGATGAGAGGCCACAGTAACTCAAACAACCACTCGTTACTACCAAGGTCTGCAGAACGCATCTCTGAACGCACAACACGTGGAACCTTGAAGCAGACGGGCTATAGCAGCAGAGACCATTGATGCTACTTCCAGCAGGATAGTGCAGCATGTCACAAAGCTCAGATCATCTCAAACTGAACATGACGGTGAGTTCACTGTACTCCAACGGCTCCACAGTCACCACATCTCAATCCAACAGAGCAGCTTTGGGATGTGGTGGAACGGGAGCTTTTCATCATGGATGTGATGCTATCGTGTCAACATGTGTGAGGAACGTTTCCAACACCTTGTTGAATCTCTGCTACCAACAATTAAGGCAGTTCTGAAGGCAAAAGGGTCCAACCCGGTACTAGCAAGGTGTACCTAATAAAGTGGCCGGTGAGTTCATATGTAAATCTGTATTTATTCACTTAATTCAAACTCCCTCTGAGTTCATCACATGATCCATGCTGCTTCACTTCAGCGCTATGAACTCTAAATAAACTATTGAGTTGTGATTTAATCACAATAAATATAAAAGTGATGCAGAAATATCTACACAATGACGATCTGTAAAAAGTCTGAGTTCATGTTTTGTTAGTTCTCTCCTCAAGACGACAAGTAAACGACTTTTAAATGTTTGTTTTCTGAATGGAGTCTGGTTCCATCAGTGCTATGCTAAGCTAACATTGTAGCAGCTCATCAACACTCAACATGACGTCATCTAGTCATGAATACAGCAGCGTGTTCTTCATTGTGTGAACGGGGTCTACATGGACCACGTGTGAATGGTGGTCCTTGTTTACCTGTGAGATGTAGTCGAACACGGAGCTGGGCTCGTAGTGGGACTTGTAGTCCAGATCTGGGACGTCCCCGTGGTGGAAGTGGACCAGGTGGTGGTGGTGGTCCCCGTGGTGATGCTCAGACTTGATGTAGTCCAGGCCGCTGATCTCCATCTTGATCTGGTCGTGGCCCAGCTCGGCAGTGGACAGCGGCTGGATCTCCGACAGGTCCACAGTCTGGATGGGCTCCAGGTCCAGGTCCAGGTCCTCCGGCTCGCTCTTCACGCAAGGCAGCATCGCCAGCGGCTCGGCGACCTCCGTGGGGGAGGTGTCCAGAGGGGGGGGAGGGGAGAGGCCGAGGCTCAAACAGTCGGCCTCCAAGTCTGTCATGCTGAGGGGGCGGAGCTAACGACGTATCGCCGATGCTTTGTCCCGCCCTCCTCTGTAGAAATCTACCTGTCCTGAGAGGGGGGGGCACGTGTCCTCTGGGAATCCAACAGTGAGTCACTGATGATGTCACCACCCACACCTGACTGGGACCAGCCTGCAGAGACACACAACACAACGTTACACTAAATATACATTTATACAGATCCATGTTTATCTTTTGTCTCTGATGAAATCATGTGTGATACTCATCACAATCAAACTTTAGTATATATATATATATATATATATATATATATAGACATAGACACACACACTATATAGTGTGTATATAATAATTTTGAACATGATAAATAAAACTTAAACAAATTTAATTTATTGTTAACTTTTGGGGTTAACTACTACTACTAGTACTACCACCACCACTGATAGTCTGTCACTTAGCCGCTGCCATCAGTGTATGACTCAAATGTAACCTCTGCATTTAACCCATCCCTAGCTTATTGGGAGCAGTGGGCTGCTGAGTTGCGCCCGGGGAGAGGTTAGGGGTTCAGTGTCTTGCTCAGGGACACTTCGGCACAGGACATGTAGCAGCAGAGGATCGAACCGCCGACCTTGCGGTTGCCGGACGACCCTCTCTATCCTCTGGTTCTGAAGTAGGTTATATTTACTCAAGTACTGTAGTTAAAGGAGTACTTCACCCACTAAATTAGTAACCATGTGTTTGTATATAGTTTTTCATCTCCATTGACTTCACTTCATCAAGAGTTAACATTTATACTTTAACATGAATAAAATGAGTTTAAGTTCATCGATTATTGTAGAACTTCTCCTGATGCTGCAGGTTTTTGTTGTCGTACTTTGTTTCAGTATCATAGTTTTAAGTATCACTTTAGAAACATCTGCAGCAGTAAAATACAACATACACATTAATACTGCAGTAGTATTGATCCATAAACATAAATCATAGCTAAACACTGACAGGCCATCAATCAATACTTCTATTTGAACTGTTGACAATATGCACATCCTACTTCAGGAAGGTTGTGAATGCAGTACTTTTACTTGTAATGGAGTACTTCCACTCACTACTGAGGTACTTTTACTGCAGTGAAGAATCTAACTACTTCTTGTTCACCCGCACGCGCGCGCACACACACACATGAACGCGCAGTAAAGTTTGCAGCCGTTAACGTCAAACTAACGGCCACAAAAAAAGCCCGTTAAAAGTTTACCGGGCTGTGGGTTCCGGTGCTCACGCGCAGCTCTAGTATAAAAGTGTCTACCTGTTTGTCTTCCTTCAAAACACTTTTTTTTTTTAACTCGCAACGCAGCCTCCGAGTAAAATAATCTGGCGGTGATTTTCTCCACGTTTAACGGCTCGTTAACGGCTCATCTGCGGGAACGATTCGTTCCTCTCCCGGGTGTGAAAGCTCCGTATTTACACGCGCTTTCTTGGCATACAAAGACAGGGCAGGATGCCATAGCTATAGCTAGTTTAGCTAGCTAGCTAGCTAGAGCTAGCCAGTGGCCATCTTGTTTATCACACTAGCAGCTAAGCTAACTAGCGGGGCTAGCTGCTGTTTGAGGGGGGAGAAAGTGAGAGTGAAGCTGGGAGAGGGAGGATGAGAGGCAGACGGAGGTTAGCCTCCTCCACTTGTCTCCTTCACTTGTCTCCTTCACTTTTTACCCCCAGCTAGCAGACGTGTGTGACAGCTCCAACACAAAAGAAAGAACCCTAACCAGGGTCCGATTCATGAAAATCTGTGCAGATTCTGTGAAGAGAGCGCGAGCGTTGAAGCCGGAAACCGAGCGCAGCGCGAGAGAGAAGCGTCAACAAGAGCAGCGGCTCAACGGCGGGTTTTGACGGTCAGTTACCTACGTTACCGGTCCGTTACCTGCGCGTGGTCCGGTTCATGGTTCTCCTCCTCGCGGTCACTTGTAGCTAAACTCCGCGGGACCCGCCACGTCCACCTTCGGCAGAACAACCTCACCTCCTCGCCTCCTCTCTCCTCCCCTCTATCACTGACTAATTCCGCTCCCTCCTTCTTTTTTTTTTTTCCTCCCTCCTTCCTTCCTTCCTTCCTCGCTTCTCTCCCCTCCCTCCTTCCTTCCTTTCTGCCTGCCCACTGGTCTCTCGTGCTAGGTAACTACGGCAACGGTAGTAGAAGAGGTGGGTATATTTTCTGTGTCGCGAGCAGTTGCACGAGCGGGTGCGGGTGCGCGCACGCGGTACATTGTTACATTATCATTGTCGTCGTGGCCTCCTCGCGCTCGTTTATTTGTTTATTTATTTTTAGCTCCACGCGCCCGGTGTGTGTTTGATAATGAATGAGCGAGCAGCACGCGCTACCCGCTGATCCGGGTCATTGCAGTCAAGTGGTGACGTCATCACAGAGCCGTTAACCTGCTCATTAAATATCTAATGATGTCACATTAATACATTTTAAATGTGCTCACAAAATAAATATATTACACTCGTTTTTTATTTTTATTTTAGTTTATAAAATTATAAGTATTTAATTCTTATTTTCTGACTATTGAGGAAACTTCGATCCTTCAACGTGTGCAGCAAGATGCTGGAGATGTTCTACCGGTCTGTTGTGGTCAGTGCACTGTACTTCTGTAGTCTGCTGGGGGAGCAGCATTAGAGCCGGAGACACCAACAGACTTAACAAACTGGTTAAGAAGGCCGGCTCCATCATTGGCTGCAAACAAGACAATCTGGAAGAGGTGGTGGAGGAGGAGGACACTGCAGAAACTATTGTCCATATTGGATAACCCGGACCACCCTCTCCACCACCTACTGCAGGGACAGCGGAGCACTTTCTCCAACAGACTGATCCAGCTCCGCTGTCACAAGGACAACAGGAGAACATTCCTGCCCTCTGCTATTAGACTTTATAATAAATCACCTCGGGCCAGATCATCGTCCTTCACATGACTACAACAACGCTACACGGTTGTTGCTTGTTGTTGGTGATCCTTGCTCTACTGTCCAGTTTGTTTAGTTTACTAGTTGTTAATTTAATTAATAACCACTGTTCATTGTATATACTGTGCATTCCTATTTTATCTTTTTTATTAACCTATTCCTTCAAATTCAATATCTGCTCTGTTATTTTATTGTACTGTATATATTGTGCATTCTATATGTTATATTTTACTCTGTAAAGTGCTGCTGCTACAAACTAATTTCCCCCTGGGGATGAATAAAGTTTATATCTATCTATCTATACATACTTTTACACTGTTTCAACTGAACTGAACTGCTCGGAAACAACTTGGGTCTATGTTTACTTCCTGTCAGGTTATGTCATTCAAATACAATGTTTACCATTAAATAATATTTACCATTAAATAATGTGTACTATTACATAATGTTTACCATTAAATGTTTACCATTAAATAATATTTACCATTAAATGTTTACTATTAAATGTTTACCATTAAATAATATTTACCATTAAATAATGTGTACTATTAAATAATATTTACCATTAAATAATGTTTACCATTAAATAATATTTACCATTAAATAATGTGTACTATTAAATAATGTTTACCCATTAAATGTTTACCATTAAATAATATTTACCATTAAATGTTTACCATTAAATAATATTTACCATTAAATAATGTGTACTATTAAATAATATTTACCATTAAATGTTTACCATTAAATAATATTTACCATTAAATGTTTACCATTAAATAATGTGTACTATTAAATAATGTTTACCATTAAATAATGTGTACTATTAAATAATATTTACTATTAAATAATATTTACCATTAAATAATGTTTACCATTAAATAATATTTACCATTAAATAATGTTTACCATTAAATAATATTTACCATTAAATAATGTTTACCATTAAATAATATTTTCCATTACTGTGAGATGGTAAACAACTTTACATTTGTTTTCAAAAAGATGAGAATATCTACATTGTCTGGGGAGAGGGTAGACCAGGGTTGGGCAAACTTTTTGGCTCGGGGGCCACATTGAGTTTTAATATTTGACAGACGGGCCGGGCCAGTAGCAGATGAATGGAGTGTTTGTGTGAACTAATATAAATTACAAGTAAAATTTTATTTCAGTGGGAACAGTGTTGTTGGTCACCCTTTTTAACCAGTGCGTCAACGTTTGGTGTCAGTTTGCTTGTGGCAATTCTCAGAACAGATCTGAGGTGTTCATCAGTTAGCTGGGATCTTACAAGGTATTTTTTTATCGTATTAATGCATATTTAATCGTGCACCTACTTAATAAGCAGTCATTTTTGACACAGTGTTTTTAGTGTAAAGGTTAATACCTGTGGTCTTTTTAGCAATTTGATTCTTTGACGGATCATACAAATATTTGACTGTCACATCTAACATTATCAGAGTTCTGCTCTGTAATCTCTTTCCTTGTCTCTCCCCCCTGTGTCACGGTGTGGGTACATCTCACTGGCGTCAGGAAACGTATCAGAATACCCTTATTTTATTGGCTAAACTGCATCACGTGACGTGATTTACAACGCATTGGTCAGTGTTTTTCCTGCACCGCTGAACAAGTACCGTAAATGCTGGAAAGGAGCGTGAATAACTCCGCTGCATAAAGCAAAGGCCCGCAAACCACTGAAAACGGGTCCGCGACGAACCACCAGTTGAGAATCACTGGTCTGCAGGATCGTGACGAGCGGTGAACAGCTGTTTGTGTGGCGTGTCTTCCGTCTCTTCCCGTTTCCTTCACCTACTTTCCCCTGGGTCCTAAGTCCCTCCCCGTACAGCTTCTTATCACCAACGTACATTTATAACAAATACCACACATATTACACGGTAATCAGCGTTGCATATGTGTCAAACTCTATCGGTGCATCTCCGGTCTGTCTTTGTTCATCCTGCATCGCTCTGTTCTGTTCTTTAATGTAACGTAACTGGAGCGACGGAGCCTCTCCCAGCTGTTAGCAGACTGTTGTGCTAGCAGGCTCGTGAGTGAGCTGTACCCAGCATGCAGTTCGGCGGGGAAATTTTATAAATGTACAATTATTAGTGTTACAAATTGTTTATGTGTCACAGACTGTTGTGTGCTGTGGTGTTCTTCTCTGTTAAAGAGC